ATTGATTGCTTTGAATAAGAATTTAATTACATCTGTTAAATACAACAAAAGGCTCACTTATAATGTTATCTTTTGACCTTTCTATATATCTATATTTTTTTATTTTGTTTTAGTAGATAAGAGCAAAAATAAACAATGTATTAATTTCCGCTGCAAACTAAATTAGTCTTAATGAATAGGTATATAAGTGACGATTTTATTTTGTTTTGTTGAGACCGTGAAGGGATTTGTTAATTACAGAAAAGCTTGAAGTATGTTATTATATTTAAACAAAGTTCTAAAACACAAGATCTACAACTATTAAATTTTGTTTAATAAAATCGTAAGTCTAGCAATCACGTTCTGGTATATCACCAAAGTTTATAAACAATGCTATCACATGAATCAAATGACCTAATGACTTCACGTAGGCACAAAATAAAAATAAAACATAAAAAAATACATGTATCTTCATGAAACAACAATTGCAGATTATTCTTTTATCTGATTCAATTATATGATTTCTTTCAATTAATCGGATCAAAAGTATATTTGAATACTTTCTATAGAAATTCGTATGAATTAAAATTGACTCACCTCTTGACCCCAATTGATTTTCCCACCAGGAAAAGAATCGGAGCCAACAACTGTATAAAACCGAGCACCCAGACGTTTACAGAAAATGTTACACCTCAACATTTTTCACTGATAATAAAAATTAATTTTCTGATGAATTTAAATATGTAATTTATAGCGACATTTCAATACCCGGCCGCCTGCTCGTCAAAGATAAACGTGCGTAATGAGAGCGGCTATCAGTGTTGATAATATAACTAAATATTGTACATTCAAATTATTGTTACAAATAAAAGATACTATTTTAAATCTCATACTAACCAGCTCTAGTAAAATTCAAGGAAGATCTCATACGACATCTTTTATTAAGTATAATGCAATTATATAAATACCTACAGATATTGTAACACATTAAATTATCTGTATAATGAAAGTTTAATAAATTGTTAAATATATCGTACCACTTAATACGGGAAGACTTTAAAAATTTTAATAAAAAAAACAGTTACGGAAAATAGTACAGTTAGTATTTGACATTATTAACTCAGCAAAGATTTGAGTAAAACTTTCAATTCAGCGTGTAAAGTAGTTTAAGACACAATTGAAAATTTTAAAATGAAAGAAAGTATTGTCAGTATAATTGAGAAATGATAATATTAACTAGCCTTATGTTCAATTGGAAGAAAAAATTATCTAATGTAATCAAATGTTAGTTGTTGAAACGTCGGTACAATCTATTAAATTTTTATTTAATTTTTGTTGAAAAATGTTGAGGTACTACATTTTCTATAAACGTCTGGGTGCCAGGTTTTAAACGGTTTTTGGCTCTGATTCTCTTCCTGGATTGAAAGACAGTAAGGGTGAAAAGGTGACCAATTTTAATTACTACTGGTTTCTATAGAAAATATTCTAATATACTTTTGATTCAATTAAATAAAAGAAGACTTTTAATTGAATCAGACAAAAGAATAGTCTGTAATTGTTTTGTAGAGAGAGATATATGTATGTAGAGATATATATGTATGTATGTTTTATGTTTTGTTCTTAATTATTGCCTACGTGGTGTCATTAGGTCATGGGATTGATGTGATTACATTGTTTATAAACTTTGGTGATATACCAGAACGTGATGCTGGAATTACGATTATATTAAATTAAAATTAATAGTCTTAGATCTTATATTTTAGAACTTTACTAATTTAAAAACTAAATCTTTATTCTATATTATTAATACAATAATAGAAATCAATAAGTTTTGTGAGGGACGGTACTTGGGCTAAAAAATCAAACGTCAAGCCTTACTCTATCACTAAAAGAGCCTCGGATTGGACTTTTATGATAAGATACGTATGAGAAGTAATATAAAATCCCAGAGGATATTTGTGCGTCGGCGTCCAGACCAGACATTCTCTCTTAAAACTTCTCTTTTAAAACACTACTTATTAGGCCTAGTTTCGTTTGCAGGGATTGTTAATTTTTTTCTCTGATAGTAAAAAAAAACTAAAAACACGCTTTCATAGCTATCCGAACTAAAAAATTGAAAATAATTTTCAATTACAAAATTTTTTTTTATTTACAGTTAAAAAGCGAGTAGTACTTGATATTGAATGTTACAATCATTCTAGTGGCAACTATCTATGAGAGGAGAGATATGAAATGTAGTCATTCTTTTTACTCTGCACTAAAATCATTTCTTTGTAATTGAAAATAAATTTAAATTTTTTAGTTCGATAAGCTAGCGTGGTTTTTTAGTTTGTTGAAATATTATTTAATTTTTATTTTTAAATTCAATTAATTTTAAAAGTGAAAGAGTAAGCCCAAAACTGCAGAAAATTGCAGACCACGCACTATCTTTATTTCTCTCACTCAACTACAGAGCATCTTTAAAAGAATTCATTATTCCTGGCGGTCCTAATGATGATAATGGAAAACTGTTATCAAATTATTGCATTACCATCGGTCCTTGATACCTATGCAAAGTTTCAAATTATTCAAACTTCTAGAAACCGGTGAAAATTAAGGTCAAAGATCCCATTACATACATACATACAACCCAAGCTAATGAAAACGTGTTAAAACACAAAAATTTTGTATGATTAAGGTGTCAAAGCACAAAATTTATATATATCATTTAATTTATAGTAAGTATAATTTTTAACCTAACCCGAATAGAGAATCAATACAAAAACGAACAAATATGAATACCAAAAACCTTCCGAAATCCAAAATAAATTCATTAGAATTTTAAATAAAGTCTAAGTTATTGTTCCTTGACTGTGTCATTTTCAATTTATTGATTTATTTAATAAAATATAAAAATATCTATTGAATAATTATAATGAATATCCTTACTACATATTTATTATTTAGCAAAACAGAATGTAATATAGAATGCACGATGGATATTAGCAACCGGTTAGCTTACACTTCATATACATATTATACAAATAATACCAGGGTTAAGACGGTCTTGAATACTAACTATTGTAAGTAGTTATTATATATATACTTATATATATACATCTTTTATGTTATACGCAATATTCTTTATGAGAAATATTTCAATAGAAAACTTTGAATTTGTAAAAAAGTTTGTAACAGTCGCGTTATAAATGTATTTTAGATGGTACGTTTTCAATACGAACGGTTATTTTTGTTTTTACTGTGAAACGAAACATTGAAAATTCACAAAAGACATCACCCATACAAACTAGGTATCTATCATTCGAACAGAATGCAATAATGGAAAAATGTCACTGATAGAACTTTTTTAACAAAATATTTATTCTTTCTTAGAACGTTATAGACGTATTGAAGAAAGTGATTAATAAATATGAATATAATTATACTTTCCATAATCATAATGTTACAAAGGCATATTATAATATAATTTTCCTCTAATTAACCATGTAAAGAAACAAATGAATAAAGAAAAAACACTATTGTATCTTATATATAAATGAGAGAATTTAAATAAATAGACGTTGAACTTGAATATCAAAACAATCAATGCTCTTTAAAATCTTATTTGCTCAGCGATAGTGTAATCTTATATAGCGTCATTATTGAGGACAGTGTTACAATTCATTTATACATAATATTATACATATTTCATATTCATTATTCATTTGAACGTAAGAAATTTTCCATTTTTAATTTTACTAATTAGACATGTGTGTACCAAACAACTATAATATATGACGAAAAACTACTTAAAAGAATTCGTATAGACAAATTAATAACATTTTTTCTGTTGTCTTCCACCGCTTTCAATGTACATTACTGAGATATTTGTATATATGTGTATACCCTACAATATTACTTCTTGCGTGTAAGTCTTATCTTTCAACAACAACGCTTTATGATATTATGCAAGTACACATGTTGGTGTCATGTTCAATGGATCAAGGAGAGGAACGCGGAAACTTTATCGTATAATGAAACGCAATTAGTGGATACCAATGGAATTTTCATCAAATATTTTTCCTCGACATGAAGGAATTGCTCTGGTTATGTCTTTCGATTAATAAGGGAATGCAAAAATTTTGTAACAATATTTATTTATTGCATATTTTAGAATAAATTTACTTAAAAATTACATAACCTTAATACAATAGACTAAAATTTGTAAACAATTTATTGAAACCAACTTTAAACATCCGGGTTCGCAATATCTAAAACTATGTCAAATTTTATCTCAATAGTTCTACTGATATACATAAAATCTTGTACTTTTCGTATTTTTTTAATTAATTTGAAGCACAGCACGTGCATATATTTATCAGTGAATCGAAAAATGATGAATGTACGTCGCAATACTTAAAATTCTAATATTAAATATGGTTAAGCTTTCTAAACCAGTTTATCAGATGATGAATGTTCTATGAAAAACACTAATTTAATTTTTTAGTACTAAAAATAAAAAAATACGTAAGTAATACTTAGTTTTGGTGAAATAAAATTTAATTAAATATTTTAACGTAAAACAACAGAGAATTTAGTAGTTACAGCTAAGGTAAAATTCCGTTGAATTAAAAAAGGTAAACTTAACTAAAATACATGAATTTCTAACATTATGATCTCGCGATATCTTACAAGTTATGAAATATCCCATAAATAATTTTTGCACATAATAGTTCTGTGTTTAAAATGAAAACATTAAATTTCATTCCTAAATTCTTTAAATTCGTACATGAAAATTATTGTTCACGTTTTACACATTCAAACGAAACATTCTAAAAATATAATAGCATCACAATCATAAAATTCCTGAATATAAAATAATTGTTATTTATTCATGACAATGTTGACTATGTTCGAATTGAATGAACATGATGCTCGTTCAATTAAACTGTTTTTTTGATATTCAATATTTATAAAAATATATTTAAATTTTTGTGACACACATTCACGATGAAAACAAATTAATATTATTAAAAACTTACGTAATGCTGACATCTGACAGTGAAATTCCTGAAGGAATTCTTTAACCTTAAAGCACCAGCCCTCAAGACACTCACTTTGACGCCGTTCAATAAATTACACATTTTATATAATTATTTTTTAATAACTATCATGTATTAAATATGTTGGATACTAAACAGCTCTGTCCCTGATGTTGATCATTGTAATGTTTTATAATAATGACGCGTCCGATAAAACTACAGCTATACCTATATTTTATCTTGTACGTACTTCTAATTTGTATTTACAATTCACTGGACTTGACTTAATTATATACATTACGACAGATTTTTCTTGACTCCTTTATTATTATTATTATTAAGAATAAGACAATACATTCCTTTTTTTAATTAATATCTTCATACTTAAACTAGTCTTGTACTAACAAAAGCTACGTAGAATACAATTATTAGTTTTAAATAGTCAGTTCGAAAAACCCTAATTTTAGAATATAGTCTAGACTAAAATTACGAAAATAAGTACGTAAACGTCGTCTAGGTAGATGAAGAAATTTGGGTCACAAATTTAATAGAGAAATTTAAATGCTGAATACATTTGTATGATTATTTATGAAATGTAATTATAATATGGTGCATATGAAGTTTACCAGTCTAGAGCTCTAGACCTTGTATATGTTTAAGTTTATTATTTATTCAAACAAGATAAGTGGAAACGTATAAAAACATATATATAAATAAAATTTTAACACACTTAAGAAGAAATTCATTAAATCATATTATTCATACATGATGATTTAAATGTTGGCCTTTATACTTGTATTAAAATTCAAATAGAAATATAGAGCGGAATTTTTTTTAATGGATTAAATTAAATATTTACTAGGGAATTTGAATGTTTGAAATGTGAAGTTTTTACTTTAAAATTATAAATTGAATGATTATCAACAAAGTTCCTCATTTATCAATAGACATGACAAAATATTACATATAAGTAATTCAAGAATAATTTAACCAGATTTATAACTATTATAGAAATTCCGCGTACATTACCAGACTAAGTACCTACTTGAGTTCTCATACTATTAAATTATTCTGAGTCCGGAGATAAGATAAACGTAGTATATTAAACCAGTAATTACAATGTATTATGACAGTAGCAATAAACTAGGCAAGGTGAATGAGTGAAATAAAATAAAATTATAATTCAAAACGTAATATCTAATAATGTAAGGCAATGTAACAACAAAATAAAAAATAAATAATTTCTATTCCAAAAAATAGTTCATTCATTTCATCACTGAAACTATGGAGTACTTAAAGAAAACTCTGAGGACTTTGATGAAATTGAATAAAATTTGATCTTTGCAGAAACTGTAACAGCCATCAACATCGTATTAAATCTTACCAAATTAATATTATCATAGTAATCTGTTAATTTATTTAGAAAAACTAAGTAGAAATAATGTAATCACACATAAAGATATATTAATTAGGAAAGTAATAGAAAGTGTTCACGATTGGGTATGGATTTCATGAGGAATGAAAACGTGACGAAATCGATTGTGTATTTACACATTCGAACCAAAATGTAAAGAATTAGAATAATACTTCCTGACTACGTACCCCGTATTTTCATATATATTTCTATTAATTTAATGCTAACCTCTCTATGTATTAATACACCTAAAATAAAATTAAGTACCTTTATATGGCAGATTATATCAAACAAATTATTTCCACAATATTGCATGCTTTTCTAATAAATACGCTTATTTCGTTGAATGTAAATAAAAAACAAAGGAAGATATACATAGATTAACCGTTCCAAAAGCCTCGTCTCACCTAATTCTATTATCAATGATTCTTAATAAAAGAAAGGAATTTCCCGAAACACGAATGGTATGTGATCTCAAAGACATCTCTAATCTCTTTGACTAATCACAAGACAATTTCCTATTTCTCTGATAAGCTCTGTACTCGGAATTGCGAAATAAATTATTTTATATTTGTAGGGTAAAAGAATATTATTTAAAGTATCGAAAGGCTACGAACCAACATTAATAAGGAGGAGTTCTATGGCTCAAAAGTCTAGTTTCAGAAAACCTAGTGTAAAATCCATTCAAAATTCTTCTAACTTTCTTATAAATTCTCTACACATAGACTGAAAATAGTAATATTTGTTAGCAAGGTTTGTTCCAAGATGTGGCTCTAGTCTAAGACCATTACTAGCTTTCGCATTTGCTTTTACGGTATTGAAAAACAAATGTACATTGTACGTGCGGACGTTATGTAAATAAGATCTGTTTTTATTTATTCTATACCAGATATAACACTACATTTACTTAGCATTTATGTTACACGAAACAAATAACGTTAATGTAATGAAACTAAAGGAAATTAAGCAAGTGATATAATAAAAACAATAATTAAGGCTCAACTACTTTTAATCTGGTTTCTTTAGGTCTTAATTGTCAAATAAATGTTAACAATTACTTGTTTATTACTGACTCACTAACCAATGCTTTCGAAAATATTTGACCATATTTCATTAACTATGATATTTTTATGTAAAATCTAATCAACATATTACAAAAAACGTTAGGTATATGTACATAACCTTATCTCTTAATTGCACCGCTATCAAAATATACAAGTACCTACCTCCTATCAAAATCTTATTATTTTTTAAGTTGCCCTAAGTAGACTTTTATATCTAAACCAAAGCTTCATTTAAGAATAATAATAACATTTGTTATCAAACCATATTAAACCTTTTTAATAGACGTTTCTTTATTTATTGTATATCTATAATATGCTAGAAATCGTTGTCAAAAGTATCCGTCATATACGGCGTTTTTAAGTAAAATTAGTAAATCAATCACAATGTAATAAAAGTAACGTTTTATTACATTGTGATTTGTTAAAAATGTGCAAATGTTTGATAAAATCTTAGAATCGACAAGACAAAAGACATGCTCGTGTCCAAAAGGGAAAATATGTTCCGCTTGCAGATCAAAAAGAGTTATACCGTAACTATACAAAAGTTTTAACACAATATATTTTCAATTTATAAGAATCTTATAGCTTAAATAAAATATATCTCAGATTAATGGAAACCTTAAAGAATGTAGTCACGTAATACATAAATAAATAAATTTATATTGATACAGATAAAAGTTCAAATCGAGCAATAATAGTCCTACATAGCGTAAAATTTAAGGATTATAGTCTCAATCACAGTTGAACAAATATACCATAGCAATTTTTTTACAGACCTCAAGTAATAGTGGAAGAACCAAATCGTTTACCAGCACCAATCTCAATAACATACTATAGACCAAGCAAACCACTTTACCAAAATAATCCACGCATACAATATGTAGAAAGAACTAAGCATTGGAAAATACGTAAAAAAACAAAAAGCGAACCACAACCGTCAAGATGTATGAATGTATGCGAATGGTATCAACGTAATAAAGCCAAAAGAGAATTAAAAAGAGAATATGAAAAAGAAAAAAAGAGAGAGAAGGAGAGAAAGCGTGCCGAAATTGAGAGGGATATGTTGAGGGAGCTCATTTATATAGAGGAAGCGAAAAAGAAAAATCAATATATACCTCCAGAAACGACACCTCCCGAGAAGATTGTTATAAAAAAGACTAAACCAAAAAAGATTAAAGTAAAAGAGATAAAAGTAAAAGAGATTAAACCAAAAGAGATTAAACCAAAAAAGGTTAAACCAAAAAAGACAGCTCAAATAAAGACTACTCCTAAAAAGACTGAACCAATAAAGACTGCTCCAATATATGTTAAAGAAACTTCCGCGTACGTCAAACCAAAGGCACGTTCGAAATATGTGACAATTAAAACAAAAAGGTAAATTGTCCCTAAGTAATATGCAATGCGAGTTAGTATATTAAATAAAATCATTAAAATTGACAATGAAAGAAAATAAGAAACAGAAACAAACTTAAAACGTCTAATTAAACTCAATATCAATATTTGAATTCAAACTTAAAATAATTTAACAATAGTGTTTACAAAATTTATCCTCTTTCGTTGGACTCACTTTGCTAATATTTCAATAAATATATACTTATATACATAACTAATATAATTAATTTCAGTGTATATAAAGAACCCTTGACAAATAGATTCGTCAATAGCTGTTACCGATTTTGTTGTCATATGTACTGCTGCCTTACCTGCGTCGTGGTCGTAGTATTCACTGTGATAGTTATTCTATGAAATTACAAGAAATAAAACAACCTAATTCTATAATTAGTTTTTATTATACCATAAAATTTAAAGACATATCTACTGCATCGTAAATACAACTTTATGTCGACGTAATTAAGAATTAAAAGACTTAGACACTAGATTTTGGTAACTAAAGATCCGTTTCGCGTAATTCGTACTGCTCAATATTTTCCTTTCCCATCATAGATTTTTTCGTTTCGATGGAAACACAATTTTTAACACACATCTTCTTTTTTGGACTTAAATCTATATTTACATTACATTTTAACGGATTATCGTTGGAAACAGCGAGGTTACTTACAGACGATGTTAAATCGGATGGTATATTACCATCCAGACAGTACATGAGCGAATCCGATATTTTCTCTTCCGCATCCGATTTATTTAAAATCGATAAATCGATCGGACTCGCCGTTAGTACCGATCTACTTATCAAATATTCCTTGAATGGTTCCGTTAGAGATTTTGTTTTGTAACTAATGTCATATGACGTTTTGAACGGCATGTCACTGTTACAGAGAGTTGTATTGTTTATTTTTTCATTGCTGTTTGTAAATATCCTGTTTTCCGATCTCAATGGACTCACACCGGTCGATGAATCGCCGCGCGCCTCGATGGCTTTAGATTGTTGTGATACGCTTGAATGATTCGACCTGTGAATAAATATTGTCACAATATAAGTAAGGACATGAAACATATGTATTTTAATCAAATATAACATACGACATATGTACATGCCAAAGAAGTAGTTTCCATTCATATAACTATAAATATTATTTAATACTTTATAATAAGATACTTTTTTGGGTACGAATTAATTTTCGTAAATAACTCACCTTTCAAAACTAAACGTGGACCTATCGTCATCGGAAGAAACAAAGTCACTATCGTTTTTGGGAGACATCGATTCATATTTATCCACTTCTTGTATATTTGTTTGTTCGGATGTTATTATCAAAGGTTTTCGTGAACGAGGTGTCATTATAGATTCCTATAATCACAGAATTTAAGTACACAGTCGCAAATCAAACATAATTATTTTTAGCCACAAAGATGACACGGAAATTTTAATATTTGGTTTTAATAGAGAAGCGTTAAGATGAACAAACAATAAAATATATGTAGACATTGCATGCAAAGCACAAACCTGCATAGCTTTGGATAGTTTTTGGGTCGATTTAGTTATAGGTGACATTGAGGCTCTTCTGAAATTAACTGTGTACGGCGTGGTGCAATCATCGTCTATATGTTCCGACATTCCCGGCGTGCTTGTTAGGTAATGCATTTTGAACTCTAATTCATCAGCACTAAGCTTAGATTTCTTTGGCGTTACATCTAGACTTTTCTCTTGAACTTCATCCGAATCGTCGTCCTCTACACACGACACGCAGGTTGGCGTGCTTCGGATAGCTGAACGTTTTTGATACTTTTTGGTATTCGAAGTAATTTTCGATCTGAATAATCTCGAACGTGTTTTTGTATTTTTTGGCGTTTCCTCGTTCGAATCTAATGAGCTCAAATTAGGTTCGGAAACGAATTTCGGGCTCAGTCTCCTAGATTTATTCAAAGCGCCCTCCGATAATGTACTTTCATTGCTAGCGTCCGAATCGTAATCGTCGTCCAATGATTCGGAACTCGCTATTTTGTTAGCCAAGTTCTTTAATACAATATTCTTATGGGAAACATCTATTTTTTTGTTATCCGTATATCTCTTACATTTGCTAGATTTCTGAAAAGCCGTTAAGGAACATGATGCGACAGAAAGAGACATTCACATTGTGAGTAAAAGAGACAAAACACACATGTTAGTTACAATAAGCGCTGATATGAAATTCTTAAATGAGTTATTGTAAAATGAACTCTATAGAACATAACAAAAGGATCAGTTTAAAGTTAATAGTTCGCAAAATAGTCTATTAGAGATGATATATTTAATATAGGGTTTTATTTTAGTACATACTTCTTCGATAACGTTAATCGTTGAGCCGGAGCCTTTCTTTGGTGTTTTGTTCAGTAAACCCTTGTTGAATATATGACGTTTGATGGAATCCCCAAAACTCCTCGATCCGGCAACTTTGCCTGTCCTTTGAATTTGTATAGGTGTCCCTGAAATTTATAAAAAGAAATTAGAAACAACTTTTTGGGATGTTTTTTAAATTGATTTAATCTGTCCTGTTTGTGATCACGATTGCTTGCTGCAAAAGAACCAAAACGTTAACAATCTTGAACATGTAGAAATAAAATACTAAAAAAACACGTAGTATCCGAAAAACTTACTTAAATATTAATCAGTTCATGCAAAAATCTTACATATCATTTATAAGAAATATATTTTAAATAAGTGATATTTTAATAATATATATTCATTTACTTTACCACTCACACTTATACCACTGTATATTTAAAAAAAATACAAAATATCGATGTGAATAATTAATTAGCAATATGAACATTTTTATTATTCTTTAAAAATAATAACTATATGATTTCTTTACTTGAGCAAAACTGCTTGTTAAATTTATATTTACTCACTTACTTATCTCTTATAAGTTATTGTATATAGGAATTAAATCCAAATCTTCTACTAAGTGGCTGTAACTGGTTTATTCTAGTTCTATCTGCATTAATGCTATCTATAGGGTGTTTATTTTATATATTTTTACATTTATTTATGTGTAAAGCTATCTAAATATAGTTACCGTAACCATTCTGTCTGTTAAAGTGTTTCACGAGTCGTCTCTTGTGGTGTGAGTCTGGTAGTGAGTGTATGTGAGCGTATAGCTGAGCGAGCGCGGTGTCGGTAGGATTGATCTCGTTCTCAGCGCGGGTTCGATGCCTGTCGACGAACGTGTACACTGTGTTCGCTGCTGTTCTGTAAATTGAATTAATAAGTTTTAAAATATATGGTAAGGTTATAAAAGGTCAATAAGAAACAAAATTGCGGAATATACTATGAGCAATTGTATGAATGAGAGTAAAAATTATATTTAATAGTTTATTCTTACAAAATTTATTGAAAAATACTTCTTTAAATAATTATAGAAGTTTTAACATTCTTGATAAAATATTATGATGATATAGTTGTATTCAGCATTGCTTTATCCTACTAATATTATAATTGCGAAAGTTTGTGACAGTGTGTGTATGTTTGTTACTTCTTCACGCTCAAACGGCTGAACCGATTTTGATAAAATTTTGTGTACAAGAAGCCAACGTCCAGGAATAGCACATAGGCTACTTTACATCCCGGAAATCCTCGGGTAACACCGCGGAGCGCAGCTAGTAACAAATAAATTAGTATACAATGTCTTAGGTTGTCGAACCATCTAAGTTAACTTTTATCAATGTGAGTGGTATTATAAGGATGAAATAATTTCAAAAATTAAAGGTATAAATCTAAATTGAAAGATACAAATGCCTGAAACTAATGCTTTTAAAAACAAGTCTGCGGTAGAAATGTAACTACTAAAAATATTTTGATGACTTGGAATAGACGAGCTATTTGTATGATTCACAAACTTGTCATTTAAGATTTAAATTATATAAATTTTTATGAGAAAGGTGGTAAACGAAACATAGGGTTTACTTGATGGAAGGTAGTATCCGATATTGATGTATTTGACCTTGATTATGGAAGAGGTAGAAAGAGAAAGAGCAACTATCTCTCTCACTCATCCGCCGAAACGCCGACGCTAAAGACTACTTCACGCCGATATCTAGTGAGAGGCTATAACTTCCTTGTCGAGCCAGCCCATGTTTGAGCTGTAGTAACTTAACCACAGCTAAGCTACCAACTTTAAATATCTATCTGATACATAATTATCTCACCGGTCAGTGATGCTCTCATCCAAATCAACATCCGGGGACATAGCTCGCTTCCGTTCACGTACAGTGAAATAAGCAGCCGCATCAGTAGCTAAACGACTTGGAGCTAGGAACAAACGGGAACACTGCCTTATCATGAAGCTTATTAGAGGAGACAGCGCTATGGAATCAGCGTGGAAGGTTTCCGGAGATAGCTGGAAAAATATAAAAGAGAATTAATTTATCACTCCATTTTATTCTATGGTACGCCTATGGTAGGCGGGAAGTCCCTAAAAAAATCATTGCGTTTAGCCGTTTTTTAGCGAAAAATGTAGTCTCAACAAAGAATCCCAATTGAATAAACAGTTTCTACAGTTTAATAATAATTGCAATTGCTTAGTGCATTTGTAAGATGATGTTATTTTTTAAGAATTTTCATATTACGCCAAACGAGAAATAATGTATCATTAAATAAAATATGATAAGTATTCTCATAAGTTAGATAAACAAAATGGCGACATCGAGTTAACGATTTAATAATCTACCTCTAACAGGATTAAATACACAAACCAACTAAGGAGTTGTAATAAAAGACAATTTTAAGTTACTATTACGATGGGTAATAAAAGTAATAGTAAACAATATGAGATAGGGATATTTTGGAAAAAAAAGAATTATTTCTATACATAGTCCATGCTTTTCGATATTTTTGCAATGCATAATTAATACCCTTTGAAAAACAAAAACAATATATGTATCTTTGCACGACTTTTTTTGTATACTAAACGAAATTAGTTTCGTTTTTCTCCGTTTAGCTGTTTAATCACTGACTGTAGTATTTAAACGAATATAAGTAACGGTAAGTAATCGTGATGTATCTGTTTTGTATAATGAAATATTGAGTATATAAAGTAGTAATTTTTTATCATATTTTAATATACTCTACAAATATCCGATTTTCATTGTTCTTGGATATACAGGGTGACTGGTGAATTACTATCAATATTTAAGGAGCATACTCGGTACATGATTCTCATTCGAATTATGTAAAAAAAATAGGTACTTAATTTTTGACCAAATTTCCGTATAAATAAATAAAGTGTGTACACGTTCCAAGTGTTCCAAGTGTGGACCCGTGCGGCGGCGTGCTGATACAACACAACGCCGCCGCGCGCGTATGTGTGAGTGTGTGTGTATACCTAATCTGTAGGGTGTTCATACGATGCGTAATTAATTACATAACTTTTGGTTAACTTTACTTAGAAGTTTATTAATATTTATGTTATATTAATTTTTATTTCGTCATATATGATCGTCAAATATCACGTCCTCAAATATCCATAGTAATTCACCAGTCACCCTGTATATTAAGAAATATATAATAACTAAGACAGTAGTGGCCTAGTGGTAAAAGGACCGCCTGCCATGCACGAGGGCGCGGGTTCAATCCTGGCAAGTACAATGTGATTTTTCCGAATCATGTGTACTTTCTAAGAGTGTTTAGACATCACTGATTAATGAATTCCCAAAGAGGGTTGATGTCAGGCAAGCGGCCAAAATTAGCCAAAACTTACCACAACATATAAGGCAGACCCTGGCTAAAGCTGGGAAATTGCCAGGTAGAACAAGAATAACTAAGACATAAAACTACTAACTTTTCTTGGGCACAATAAATGTGGTGTGAACATTGTTGCTAATGTGTCCGGCGACATTCTATTGCTCGCTTCATTATCAGCTACCAGATGCAACAAGCTGAGTAGACGTTCTAGAAAGTTCCTATGAGATGGCGCAAGAAGCAATAATAATAACTGCAATGCAGTTAAAAGTTTTTCCTCTGAAGATTCAGCATTAGGCGGGTATTGAGCTGGAAAAGAAATGAAAATAATGTAGTGAAACTTATTTATGCCCGCGACTGCGTTTTCAAGGAGTCTGTAATTGAATTCAGAGAGAATTAATAATGTAAACTTAAGTAAAGGAAACCATAATTTTCGGATATACTAGGAGATTTATTACACATTTTACACTACTTTTGGTCACTTTGTCACAGAGTTGTAAACTGTAGGTAAAATAACCGAAACCGTGACACAATCATATTGTTTCATCAACAAAATGCTTCATAAAAATTTTTTCAATAAAATGCCCTATGTATGTTGATAAAAGTATGTAGGTCCAAAACTGTTGTTTTCTTAATTTAACTGTATATGATTTGCCCTAAAGCTCTCTTTTATTAGAGGTACTTGTGAACAATATAATCATACAAAGTTGTTATTTAAAATAATGTTCTATCCTAACATAGTAATTCATCATTTAAAAATCCATTCAAACAAGCAAGGTTTCAACATTTAATTAAACTTGAGTGTTTTTGTGAATTCCTCATAATATTAGATTTTGTTGTAAACTTTAACTCAATGAATTAGAATACATATTTAGAAATCTGTTCAAATATTCAGACATATATAAAAGGATTGAAGCTAAGGAAATACACACTACACATCAATTGAGTGTTGCAATCAGTTATTCATACAATAGATCCTCATGTAGTACATTTAAATACTGTATAAACAACATTAACCACAAGCAATTACAACCAGAAATAATTATAACCACAGTCAATTATGAATTACCACAGTAATACAATCACTGTAAAGGATATTATAAGAAAAATCTTTTACACACATATCATGTAAAAATTATGTGATATTATGCAAAATCTTTGAATGATAAATAATAAATATAAAAATATATATATGTAAATGTATATATATTTATACATACATTTATTATAATAAATACTTACAGGCCAATGTGCAGTAGGTTTGATAATACTGATCCATAAGTAATGGCTGGGGAAGTTCAGCCAAGAACCCTTTGAGAACAGAGGCACAATCGTGAACAGAAAACTTGCTATCATCTAAACCAAGACTTGAGCCAGTGACGAGGAGCTGACGTAACTCTTGTTGACGGTTTAGTGAGCCTGTCCGACGGAATATACCCTCTTGTATAACATCTAAAAGGAATTTTAGTTATTGGATTACTTAAAATAAACTTATTTAGCTAAATAGAAATGACTATTATCATGTTCTTTATTATTGGTTTTATTGTCATAGAAAATTCTGAACATTTTGTAAAAGTTCCAATCTTCATAGAAAGATGAAATGCTAATACAATAGACAAATGTATATAAATATCATTAAAAATTTTATCTTTCTTTGAAATTCATTGAAAACTAACAATACAATTAAATATATAAATTTAATTATATTTTTATATATTACAATTACTTATACTCACTGTCAGGTTGGGAAAGAAATTCTATCAACTCATACAATCTCAAAATTCCCTCTTCTGTGATAGAATTAGCCTCTTCAGTTTTCTTTGTACTATGAACATTATTTTGACTAGATACTAGATTAGAACTATGTGTTTTAGTCTTTTTGTGAAAGTTCCACCTGAACTGCTTTGGTTTATCCGCCGAACAATCGACCCTACAGAACAAGTCACCATAATTTATAATATTTGTATGTTCATAATATTTAATGCTAGAAGGTACTCACTCGTCAGTATTAATGTCGACCACAAAAGATAAATGCATGCGCACTAATGTAAAAAACTGCTCCAAATTCTCGTTTCTCAGCCTTTCTATAAGTTTTATATCAGAGGAACCCATTTCTTAAAATTAAATTAACAGTGTGTGATGTTTTGTACCGAAGTATTGTGAAACTTTACATATTTATTCCCATATATAGAATCGATACCCTAATTATTTACCATCAAAAGACGTTTGATATTTTAAATCTAGTTGTAGGAATTTACAAAGAAAACAACATTTTACAAACTTTTCTAAAAAATGGATAAAGTATTGTTTTCAAATAGAATGACAGTTGTCACAACGGCTAAATGATATTCGTTCAGAAACATGAATGTGTTTTTTTATTTTTAATGTGTACACATAAATTTATATAAAAATATATATATATGTATATATATATATATATATATATATATATATATATATATATATATTTCTTTATAAAAGTGAAATTATAATTCCATGTGTAAATAACAATGATTTGTAATCTCCAAAATAAGAGGTATCCTCAATTTTCTTATGTATTAATTAAAAATGAAACTAGTTTTCAAATACTACACGTTTATTCATTATTTTTTAACTACATAACCATCAGTTTTCAGTTCCTTTACAGCAGCTGTGATAACGGGTGGACGAGATTATAGTTTTTCAGATTCACTGATGATTTTTTCAAACTTCAGGATTATGTATTTATTAAATTAAATTAAACAAGTACTTATTAAATTAAATAAATAAAAATTAGGTTTCCGTAGTCCGAAAACCTAATTTTTATTTAAATATTCTTAATTGCTAAACTATATATTTTAATGTTGCGTACCCCGTCCATGTCAATCAGTTATTTTGGTAAAATAAAAATGTTTCGTTTGAAAATAGTCTCTAAATGCAAAAAATATAATTTTAATAATTATAAGTTTAAGATAAGTAAACGCATTATGAGTATTAAACTACATCATATTTGTCTGACATATTATTCAAAAATAATCCCCGTGGTTCATAACCCGAAACCAATTATCTCCAAAAGTAATATGGATTTGTGGTGATGACCTAAAATGTTTACTTAACTTTACCTATCAATAGCAGATAATATCTTAAGAAATTCGGACTGTTCCTTATAAAAACTTACATATTCCATATAAGTGTTGAGAAAGTAAAAAAATCCAAAGTTAAGTCTAATGTTCACTTTTTATCAAGTTTTGGGAAATAGGAGAAATGTTGCTACTATAATTTTTTTTTAAGTTGTTACCACAAAGGGGTTTTGGACCTAGTGTAATATAATTACTAACTTGTATATATCTTCTATTTAAACAATAAAAACATAAAACATATTAACTTGTATCAATTATCAATACTATTTTATTTTTTTGCTGTTTGATTTGGTTATTATATTAAATTTGGGCCATCCATATAAAACTATACAAACTACTGTACACATAACTGTACAAATAATAGATGTGAAAAAGCTGTTTTGCTAACTGAAGATAGAACTTGCAAACGCAAGGCATAAACATTGCATAAACTCAGAAGAATTATATCGTATATTTTAAACTGAACAAATAAAATGCCAAAGAATGAAATTTTTATTAAATTTAAATATCTGAATGTGTTTTTTTATACAATATACACACATGTAGAACTTATATAATATCCTAACATTACATTAATGATGAAAAAAGTAACAGCTATATAGCCTTTTAATATTTATTGATAAGGAATATGAGATCAGAACATATCATCATGACCTAAGTCAGCTATCAAGTTAAGGCCTCGGTCTTTAAGAGCTTTTGACAGTAATTTTTGTTGTTCCGTCTTTGTGTCTTGTTCTCGCCGTTGAGCATCTAGAATATCATCTACAGATACTTCTGTGAGTGGAAGATTTTCTTCTTTCTCTTTGTCCTGAAACAATTTATATTAATTCTATAAGATATTTTCTTGAACTTTTTATGTAAATAAATTAATTTCTAAATATAGGACATTCCAATGTATTATGAATTTGCACTTAAATATATGTTAGTATAATTTTTATTTTATAAAACATGACAAAAAGTTTTTAACACTATTTAGCGGAAGTTGCAGGTGCAAATCCTGCTCATGTCAATGACTTTCATACTATATTTAATTTAATTATAATATTAAGCTCAACATAGCTTTAATTAACAAACATAATCATACGAAATCTGAAGAAATTCATGATGCATATTTATATACTTACGATTTCCCCTAACAGTACAACATTCTCTCCCCTAACAATGAATATTCCCCGCGGTATATCCCCGTATTCGCGACCCACATGTATCCTTTCTATGGTTTTATGTAAAACTAAGTTTGCGAACTGGTCCACGCAGCGTAAGTATCCGATCAAGGTCCTTCCATCACGCAGTAACACCATCAATTTCTCTTCAAACAAGAATATCAATAATAATAATAAATCTACTGAATAAAGAAATACACTAAGGTTGTAAATATATATCACATACTATCCAGTTCATCCAGCAAATGGGCGGTTCCAGCTAAAGGATTAATGTTATTAGACATGGTTAACAAAGTTATAAATATTTTTATATTGAAATATTAAGGTAAAAATGATAAAACAGGATATATTTTTGTTTGACATCAAAACAAAGTACTTGACATTAATGGATTCACAGAAAATTGACATTTAGTATCTTTTGCCGTGCTGCTACTTCAAAAAAATAAAAAGTGGTAAAAATATAAATATGTAACACAATTTGTTTTATTTGTTAATTGAAATAAAGTTTTAATTTTTTTTTATATCAAACCTTTTGCTCGACTACTTTGTATAGTTATATAGAGACAACATCAATCTGTATAAATAAAATAATATTTATAAGTCGTAACCCTACATTAGCTATCAATTTAAATTACATTCGCTTTGTAATGGACTTCAGATCATTCACAAACAATTTTTATTCCATCTATATTATGTTTAAGACTTTAAGTTTTTGAGATTAAATTAAGGAAACAGTTTTATGTGATGTGGTGAAGAATACGAAACATTCAGAGTAGTTTTTTAGGTTGAAGTGCTTATTTACAACGATGGAGCAAGATGAAATTAAATCTGGCTGTTTATTATTTCCCCCCGCCGGAGGAAATGTGTTCATTAAATTCCCTAAAAAGGTAACTCTTAACGAATATTTAGTTTAAACCGAAAATGTTTCGTGATTCTAGCTGTAGACTGTCAAAGTTTACTTGTTAAACATGTTTTGCTTTAACTTAAAGCAATATGCTTTCTAATGACTCAGGGGTTAAGATATGTGTATATGTAAAGTTGTTACATGTTGTTTACGACCAATAAGGACCAGTTTTATAATTGTTTCGCTTAAACATTTTAATTTTACACTATATATATTTCGGTACTATAATGGATACATGTGTGCATTGTTTTCTTAATTTATATTTTTATTTACAGAAAAATTGGCAACAAAAGCATTGTATACTTTTCAATAAGAGTATTCAAGGTATTGAGCGACTTGAAATCTATGATAATAAAGATGATGTTACTTCAGGTGCTATACCAAAAGTGCTGACACTTGAGAATTGTATAAAGATTACTCATTCTAGTCCAAATACTATAACTATACTTACTAAGTCACATACCCAACAAATCAGTGCTCAATCAGAGGCAGAAACCTTGGAATGGGTGACTGCCCTTCAATCTGTTGCCTTTAAGGGACGGGACTTGAGTCCGATAGGCTGTGATGAAGATAATGATCTTTATTGTTCCTCTGGTGAAGGTGTATTCTCTGTAGTAATGTGCACATCTGAAGCTTCTACCAGATGCGGCTTTGAACCTATCAGATATCTCTTACTATTGACTGCTACAGCAATAGAACTAAGAGATGTGAATGACAATAAACTATTTGCAACATGGCCATATAGATATATAAGGAGATATGGATACAGACAGGGTAAATTTACATTCGAGGCTGGCAGAAAATGTGATACTGGTGAAGGCATATTCCATCTGGAACACACAAACCAATCGGAAATTTTCAAATGTTTGTCTTTAAAAATGAAAACTATGAAACAAATGATTGGTAATGACAATCTTAATAGCCCAGAGCACAGTGAATTCAATATTCAGCCAAATGCTAACCTATTTCCTGGTTCTAGAAGCCCATTGGTTGCAGCCAAACCTGATGATTTGAATTTAAGTTCTCTATCTTTTAAAACTGCTTCAGTATCAAGTCATCAAACTTGTAGTACAGATAGGGAATCCGTTCCATTACTTATGCCTAAACCAGCACTGAAGCCGAAACCACAGAAACCTCCTCGCAAAATTATAAATATGCATAAAGGAATTACTAAAGATCTGACTTGCTCTACAGATGAAAGTATAGATTTTGGTAGATACAAGAAACTGGACAACTATGAACCAATTGAGCAAATTAAACGGGAAATTAGTCCTCCTTCGGTGCCATATGATAAAATTGAGTTAAGAAGTGAAGCTTGGAAGACATTAGGTATTGATGACCCAGATCATACCGAATTCACCCCAAATTTAGTTGATAATCCAAATTGTATGAAGCTTATATCAAGATCTCAGGACAATTTGAACACTTCTGGACCAGATTCTTCAAGAATCATTTTACTTCCTAGTCCGGTAGTTGACCCAGAGGATGAAAACTATGATAGGCTGCAGTACTTTGGATCAACAAGCAAATTAAACAAATCTTCAAGATATAAGAAGATTGAAGCGAGACCAACAACTTTAGCTCTCGGTAATAAAGATACTTGGAATGACTATGACGAAGTTGAAAATGTAATGCAGACAGCAAGATTGGCTGATGATTCTCACTTAGGTTACGGTATGATAAGAAAACCAAATACTCCTGGACCACAAGTGCCAACCGCTGCTCAAGCCCAAGCATTACAAAATCAAGTTGGCCTAGAAGAAATCAACCATAATATTTGTAATGGTACCGACTATGCTATTGTTAGTCGCCCTAAAAGAGTGTAAAGCAAAATTGAGATTTGTTTCCCAAGACTGAGATGAAGCTTCCAAAAGCCACTATTTGAATCTAACATGTCTGTGAATTTAAGCATTCCCAGAATATTAACATTTGTTTATTTTTTATCAAGTTTTAAGTATTTTAATAGTTTTACTTTTATGAAAACTGTACCACTAGCTTAATTAAGGCCATGAGGCACAAATATTCACAATGCTCTATATTACCTTGTAAGAATTATTAAAAGACAAATATAGAATGTTTAAATGTTCATTTTTAAATAAAAACAGTTATTTAACTTCATTAACAACATATTTGGAACATGAATACAATTTTGTAATTGTTTTACATTATTCCATGTAGTATGAAATGACAAATTCAGTATTAAAGAGGTTTTATATGTCTCGAAAGCAATATTTTGTTAATCTCTGCTCAAATTTTTACAGCATGTTCATAGTATTATTTTATAAAAGACTATTCTAGCATTCCCAATTGATATTTATATGTAAGAAGCTTAAGTGTTATATTTTTAGATCTATATGTATAAATTGATGATTATAAAAATTGTGATTTTATTGTGCCTTATTGTAACAATCGGTTACATGTTAAACTAAATGCATAATTATTATGAATTGTATGTTTGTAATTGTGTTTCATACTCTTAAATTTTTTGTACTTTTATTATACAGAAATACTTGTGCCTTTATAAAACTATTTATGATAATAATGCACTTAGATTGAAATGTAATTTGAGAGTTTAGATTTTATTAAAGAGTTAACCATCCGGTGCCAATTTAAGTACAATAACTATAAACATTAGGTACTGTTTAAAATAAAACTAATTTTAAATATTCATACTAATTATGTTCTATTGCTATGTTACTTATTCCAACATTATTTTATACTATTATTTGGCCATATAATGAAATAAATTAAGTCATGTAATCTTCATTAATTGTTTAATTTTACATGTATATACACTTACAACATAAATAAAATATTACATCACAGAATACAAAGTAACTAAAATAAATTTACTAACAATTATTATTTATCCATCTAAAGCTTTTGTTTCAATATTACTAACAATTTCATTTGCAATAAACTCCAGATCCTGAGAGCAAATTTTCTGAACAGTTTCTCCTTTTTCAGCCATTATGTCTTCAATATTCTTTTTACCATTCATATCGGTAAACCAATTAAGATTATCAGCAATTAGATGTTTATTTTCACACCCGTCACATATAACAATAACAACACCTTTGTAGTAAGCCAATTTTGTTATAAATTTTGAATTTCTGGTGTTGCATTTCTTGCATGTGAACATAAGTTGGAATTTTCCCTCAGTTTTTTTAGGTTCGCTTGTTAGTTGTGTTTCGTTAAATTTTGTAACAGTGGTGCTAAAATTTCTGGGAGACTGAATTTTTGGTGTAGAGCTTGAGAGTGGAGCTACTGGTATGATGAATCGCCTTCCAAAGAACGAATTTCCATTGCTAGGAAAACATACAACGTTGTTTAATAGCCGTGGCTTGTGGTATTTCACGACGAAATCGATGAGTGTTTTGCACGACATTTTTATTTCACTTTATTTCCAATAATATATGTTGCACCACTGTAAATCAGAACATCTACCTCGTGTGTTAATCAATTACGTTTTGCTGGCTATGTCAATTTTATTTTGACTTGGACTGTCATTTGTCATTATTTGAAGTTTAGAATTGAATTGTATATACCATACCGTATTAAAAAAAAAGCACATAGCTTACAATAGTTATTCGATAACTGAGAAATCATTATTACCTTAACACAGGCCTATAAAGTAATAAATAATTGTACCATAGAACCTTATTTTATAGTTGCATTCGGTTCTCGTACTGAAAATTGTATATATTTGATAAAATAGAAACAAGTTATATGTAAAATACATTTAAAATGTCCTTTGTGTTTGTTAACGTGCATTACTAAAATCTTGAGGATATTTTTTAATTTTTATTCTTTTTAATGGAGAAGAAGTGTGAGCATTCCATTTAGTATTCAGATTAACACTCAGAATTGTTTTTTGTATTGCAAAATATTGAAATAAAGGATTTAAATTATTATTTTATATTATATTGATTAAGATATGACAAACCAAGGAATGAAAATTAATTCTATAAAAAAATACAAGAACAGTTATATATATATTGGATCTTTAAGACAAGGTTAATTGTTTTAAATTATTTCGCAAAATGAGGATAATATAAAGTGCCCATATTCTTTAAAATCTTTACAATAAGTAATAAATTTAAAATATGTTACTTATGGTACCTCTATAATATAAAACGAATAAATGTACATTTGCTTAATAAAATGATATTGTTTAATAAGACTGTATGTTCAAATTATTTAGTAGAAAGTTTAATTTGAATATAATATAAATTGTTTTTTTTGCATTTACATTTTCTTTATTAAAAAAATTATGTCGTTTTATATTATAACATATATGTAGTTGACTTTACTACCGATGAGTAACCTGAAGAACTTGCAGTATAATTTCTGGCACAAAACATAAACGTAAGTATTAATGGGCAACAAACACCAAGCTTCTTTATTTTTAACATTCTATCAAGACTATCGCCTAATTAGTGTCGCATTTTTTAAATAGATTGAAGGTGTATTATTTTATTCATCTAGCTATCAATATTTTAGAGTCCGTACAACCTAGGTTTTACATCTACATTATTTTAAATTATCGAATTAAAGGCCAACAAGAATGTATGGTATATAATAAAAATTGTATGGTAAATAATTCGAACCATAAAGCAGCTACTTTAAAAAACTTTTAATCTAAAATCTATCTCAACATACTTTAAGGAGTAAAAATTTAATTTATGTATTCTATATAAGAAACTATAGAATAAAAATAAAAAAAAGGTAAAAATAATATAAGTATAAACTTTCTATTATTTTTATTTATTTAAAATTTTTCTTAAAATTAATCAAATGAGTATTCAACTTAAATATATGACACATTATAGAAATTAGAATGCGTGAGTTAAGAATGATTTATTATTATTTAGTTTTAGGAATATTATCATAACCTTAAATTATACGTGACATAATATTCATAACCCTTAGTAAAGCGTAAAAAAATGTTGTTTTAGTATAAATTCAACTAACTATACTAATTCAATTTGGAATTTATAAAATTATGTAGCACTGTGTACAAGACAATTGTGAAAAAATATAAAACAATAAAAATATGGAGGCTATTTGGTATAAATCGGAACTAGCAGATGAAATAATTAAAAATAATGATATATTTAATCAAACCCAAAGCATAATAGCAGGTAATAAGATTATTTGTTTTCGTGTTACTTGATAAATAAATAGCACAAACATGAATTACGTTGTAAATTAATCTAAATCTTGTTGTAGATGTTGTTTCTGGAAAATTGGATATCACTGTCCTGGTAGAAAATATGGCTGGTGTTTTAACCAGCAAAGAGGTAGAAGACAGAGAACGAGGCATGAGGTTTTTTACAAAAGTTTTAAAGGAAATCCCTGCTGATTATTTGACAGAGATGCAAATTAAATTCATATCAAAATTCTATGTTGATCGTCTTAAAGATAACCACAGAGTCATTCCAGCGGTTTTAGAAGGATATTTGTCTGTTATTGATATGAAACATTATAATGTGCAAAGTAGTGGTGAATACCTCACTGCTTTATTCCGGGAGGTAGCATGCCAGTCGCAAGTAAGGCAAGATAGGTACAACATATACCTAACTATTCAAAAATTGTTTATCAAGAATGTAGAATGCAAGTACCAGTGATTATTATGATATTTATTCTTATTGTGTTATTAATTGTTTTAAAATATGGACGATTATTGCACAATTCCAGACATGAAAACCCTAGGCCCGGATTTTGTATATGGATTCATATCATCTATGGATGGAGAGAGGGATCCAAGAAACTTGCTTTTCTTGTTTAATTTCTTACCGAACTTCCTAAGTAACATTCCATTGGGACATTTAGTTGAAGAAATGTTTGAAGTCATATCATGTTATTATCCAATTGACTTTCATCCCTCTCCTGATGACCCAGCAGCTGTGTCGAGGAATGATTTAGCTGCTGTATTATGTCCCTGTTTATGTGCAATTCCAGAGTTTGCTGAACATTGTCTTGTATTATTAATAGAGAAACTGGATTCTAACCTTCGAGTAGCTAAAATTGATTCTCTTATGCTATTGGTAAGTTAAAATATTATGGTCATATATATATAAAACATTATGTTATACAGATATTTATATGTCATACTTTTCTTATTTCAGGCAGCTAGCTGTAAGACGTTTAAGTACGAAAGTTATGGACCGTTTTTGAAAGCTTTGTGGTCTTCACTTCATAGAGAACTTACACATAAAACTGATGAGGAGCTAAAATTAGTCGCTCATGATGCATTATCAGCTTTAGTATCAAAATTGTCAACAAAAGCAGAAACAGATCAATCATTCGAGAACTTTGTTAAAGGAATTCTTATATCCATGCAAAGTGCAATAGCAGAATCTTTAACTGTTATTCAGTTTATGGAAGCAATAAAAATATTATTGACCGCCGCCAATACTTCAAAACAATCATGTATTCTTATTATAAAAGCAATGATACCAGCTATTTTAGCATACTATGAATTCAAACCTTTGGTGAAATTACAGATTTCTTGTTTAGATGTTTTAGGTGATATGTATGAAATGGCTGATCATTGGGAGGTTTTGGGTGAAATGGAAAAAGAGGTAAATGAAATACCACAGTTATGTCTTACAGCTGTTAGTGAAAGGGCGAAAGACTATCAAGTATCTGGCTTTAAAACTCTTATAAGAGTTAAAAATGTCCTTCACATAGATTTAGTGCTACCATTTGTGGAAATTCTGATCTATAACATTCAACAATCTCAAGATAGTGAACTATTGAGTGTGTGTGTTGAAACAGTACATGCAATAGCAAGGAAATATCCAGAGCTCATAATGACTTTGGTTGTAAAAGGGAAGTGTGATTTGGAAAACCTAACACAGGACAAAACAGCATTACAGAAACGACTAGATTTGCTCTCAAATCTTGCCAGTATAGACGATTTTACTAAAATTATTATAGAGGAAATGTTGAAAGTAATTACAACAAATGATGAAGAAGCTTCTAAAGTTGTCAAAGCACTTAGTGGTTCTATATCCAATATAAGTTTGTATACAGAAGAAAAAGTAGCACAGATAGAAAGTGATCATGGCCTTATAAGTTCCATTATGGAATGGTTGTTGAAATCAATTTTGGATGAATCTCACGAATCTTTGAATCACGGCTGTACATTGATATCAAACACAATATGCAGTTTGCCACCTGAAAAACAATCTAGTATTTTATCCAAACACTCAAAGGCTATTTTGGAGAAGTGTGATTCAAATGAGATGTACTTTTTAATACTAGAATGTTTGTATCGTTCCACAAGTCCTACCATATATGACACAAATTTCAAAGACATAATGGGTTTAGCTTTAAAATTAGCTTTAAACAGTGATAATCAGTTACTTAGAACGAAAGCATGTTGTATGGTAGCCCATTTTCTTAATAAGGCTCAGAGTGGACCAAATTTTGAGATTTTAAATGAGGTTTTAAAATCTTATTTAACATCATGTAGTAGAGATAATGTTAATATATTACCAAGATTAATAGAATTGTATGGCTGGATAACAAAGGCGCTTATTTTGAGAGGCAATGACCTCTTCCAGTTTTGGCTTTCCAAGGTATTATTGGATATATACTCTTTGAAACATTTAAGTTGACATGATAATTAAAAATATATGTTTATTTTTTTCAGATAATGATTTCCATTTCTACAAGCGAATGCAGTGTTGAAGCATCAGAAGCTATTAAAATAATAATGACAGATTCTGAAGATTGTCTTAATACCAGACATCATTGTAGAACAAGTTTGTTATACAGGCAGAGAATGTTCCAGACTTTCGTTACTTTGACTGAAAAACTTGGACCACCAAATACTGATTCTGAAGAGGCATATTACTTAAGTTGGGGTTACGTATTAGAAAAAACGCCGAAAAGCATACTTAATAGTCAAATAAATAAGGTACACATTAGTACAAAAAAAAATATTATATTAAAATATGTATAGATTTTTAGCTAATCATTATTTATTTCAGGTTTCACCTTTGGTTGTAGACGCTTTAGTGTATGACAATAAAGAATTGTTGAAAGTGATGTTAGATGTACTAATTCATTTTGTGCAATCAAAAAACATAACAGTGGGGCACAGTTTACAAACAATTTTACCAAGGCTAATAAATTTAACTACATATGTTAAGTGTATGGTAAGTCATTAACTTTAATTGGTTATTAAGGAGAATATTGCTTAAATGATTAACAATATCAATTTCAGTTTTTAAAAATAATAATTAAGGGAAAATGGTTTCAATTGATATATAAATGATAATAATCTAAGCAAGTTCTAAAGTTTTAATCATATATTTGTGTTCTTTATAGGATGTCCGAATAAAAAGTCTGCAATGCCTTTACGAAATCGCAAATTCTTACCAGACAAGATTGCTTTTACCACATAAGCAGGATATTTTAATTGATTTAGCGCCATCTCTTGACGATAAGAAGCGACTTGTGAGAAACGTGGCTGTTAAAGCCCGTACAAGATGGTACCTAGTTGGCGCTCCCGGCGAAAGTAAAGAAGATTAATACAACTTCATCATTGTACTATAGTTTTCGGCATAAAATATTATATTTTGTACATCAAGAGTGACATAGTTTGCTCTTATTATCTACTAAAGTATCTGCTTATGAAATCATAACTTAAAAAGAAATTTTACTTAATTTTGTACCTTATAATAAATAAAAACTTTTCAAAAAGATAGTGTTAATTGGTGTCGATAGTTGTCTTTGAAAATACGAAAAAAAAGTAATTCTATGGAGTGTGAATCGAAATTATTTCTGAAATATAAAATTTCTAGCTTTTGTAACTGTATATAACAAAGTATACATATAATCTAATGAAACGATGTTATAATAAAATTGTTAAAAAATATATGAGGAATTTTATTTTATTGTACATATTTCGAAAATGGTTCAACAAATTTTCTGAGTTAAATAACGAAGTATGGAATTTAAATTAAATTCTTTTTTATGAAATGTTCAGGATGCATTAATTTTTTTTATTGCAATTGCAATGTGATGTAATACCAGTGGCGTGCACACCACAGATGCAAATAAACACTGCATACCCCACCCATATAACAACTAAACCTATATTTTTCATTTTTTTCGTTCGTCGTACTCGGAAAGTAGTGTTGTTTTGATCTGATTATAGAAAAAAAATGGAGGGTGGAAAATGCTTTTTCCGTCCCTAGGGCGGGAAAAACTAATACAAAGTACTTTTCACCCAAGAGCTGGAATGGATTTCAAAAATACAACTACTGTGAGTGGTGACATTATGTGTAAAAATTTAAAAAAAATGCTGAGGCCAGGCGAGTTTCTAAACAGCCAGTCTGAACTTAGTGCAACTAGTAGATTGTATTCTTTTTGGCGCGAACGTCTTTGAGCGGAATAAGCAGCAACAAATACGCGGTTAATTCCATATTCAAAATTATTATATACTATCAATAAATACCTCATTCAGATAAACTTTAAAATGACATTTGATTCATGATTTGTTAGTAAGTGCCATTTATCTATGTAAAAACGAAACATTTGCGATCGGCCGCTGCCAACCGCTAGCGCCGATATACAGCCAGAGCGGCGGTATGCACAAGCACTCTGTTTATTTTCTATATAAAAATTCTCAAGGACGATCTACGAATCTCGTGTATACATACAGGAAATGTTTTAATGAGTGTGTGTGTGTGTAAAACTAACACATGCATAGTGTTCGAGAAGCACTGATTAATTATTTTGTATTGTTTAAAATTTCGTAAAAAGTACGTTAATTGACAAATGAAACGGGACCCTCTGATTGGTCGGCCAACTGTTTACATATTTTTTTCGCCATTTTATTATTAGGTATTGAATATTGTAATTTGTCTTACTAAGTGTAAGTGGATAAGTTTTAATTAGTAAACAGTGGATTAGTTTATTAACGAATTATGGAAAATTATAGCTGTGAACTCTGTGCTTGTGATATGTGTTTATTGACATTAGTTACGAGTGGATTTCCAACATTGTCGTTTGATAATAAAATAAGTGTAAAGTCAAGGTGTGTGACCAGTTGAAATTGAAGTTAAAGAAAGGTAATGTTATTTGTTTTAATAAAAAGTATTATGATAGTTTTAATTAGTTAGCAGATCTGTTGTACAAACAAATAAGTTATTTTGTTTGCCTTGTTTGTTGTTTTCAAATGCTAATAATAGGAATGTTTGAATCTCCACTGGATATTCCTATTTAAATAACTTTTATAAAGCTGTGATGAACAGGTCGTAATCGTTTTAAGGTACTTTCGTGGCCCAGGTAGTCTAGAGATTCATTCTGTTCGAAAAGCTGTAAAACTATACGCGAATGTTATCAATGTTTAAATGAGAGACGAAACCTCTTAGCATTCAATGGATTCACATTTGCAGGGAGGGGAGCTTCAACAGTGACTGGGACTTGCTACCCAGGTGTAGGTTAGGGCCACTAGAGTCCACTCGCGCGTTATCTCACTTGCTTGTGAAACGCTTGCAATGAGCGGGGCTCTCGATTCGCGCCCATTACGCGCGAGTCGAGATACTCCGGCGCCGTTGCGGCGTCCAGTACGACGCGCGTGTCCGCGGCGAGTGGAGTCAAATCTTCTTGGATCATTTCTAGTAAATCATCAAACAATGCTACTGACATCCGAAAATAGTTGAAAAACTTTTCACTATATTCTCTGAGTTTTGGATATAAAGTTATAAACATATTATGCGTCATTCTGTCACGTAGAATTTGATGCGCGTTAAATCGTCGACTTTCTCTTCGTTTACGACGTTTTCATCGATATGCAAGCCACAACACAACCGCAGTATCCGAGTCCATTTTTATAACTGACCAAATCCGTCTCATCACATAATCCCGTGATTTCGCCGCATCTGGACATAATTCAAATCAAAACTCGCGAGTTGACTCGCGCGTAAATCGCGCTTTTTGGACAGGCTCTAAGGGGCTCCTATCTAACGCGCGTTAAACGCTCACCTCCACTGTCCAAGCTCCTCTCCCTATCTAACTAAATTTGAAAAGAACCTATTAGGGCTGCCTTCGACGTAGGTACGTTCCAAGAATGAATTGATGTGAGTTCTGGACAGGTCCAAGTCTTCCGGTAGGTTATAGAGAGATTTAGCTGTTATACGTCTCGCTCCCACCTCTACCGTAATATTTATTGACCTTGATAGCATGGTCTTTGGGGATGTTGGTTTCCCAAGAAACCGTAAGCTTATGTCTTATCTAGAGTCCGGCGCACAAATATCCTCGGGGATTTTGTATTGTTTTTCATATGTATCCATCATGATAGTCCAATTCGAAGCCGCTTTAAGAATAGAGTAAGGCTTGACGTTTGATTTTATAGCCCTGGTGCTCTCTCTCACAAAACCTATTGATCGCTCGTTTGTGGTTATTTCCCTTTGCGCTCTGGCTACCGAAAGACTAACCGCTTCTCGTATGATTTCTAGAACCCTATCGTGACGACGCGAGTATTGACCGCTATTCAGGAGCACCTTACATCCCACCAGCAGATGCTCAGCAATTCCAACTGCCTTTCCACAGATATAGTAAGTTTTTTCGGTACCTTTACCATATCTTACTAAATTACTCTGATCTGGGAGAGTCACCTGGAACGCATTGAGATAAAATTTTTGCAATGCTGGCGATCAGTCATGAATTAGGGTGCGCCATTTTAGTGCTAGTGGAATGCAGAAATCTCCTATGTCTAACCACTCTAATATTGTCTGATTACTTTCGTATTTTATTATGTTTAAAAACTATATACTTACTCTCGACGTTTCGATTACTTTGCAGCAACCGTGATCACGACAGACATCTTGTCTGCCCGTTAGAAAAAATAAAAATATTAGTTTTATTTAAAATTTAAATCAGTACTTGCTAAAGATATCATTATTATTTATTATCAATGTTTTAAAGGAGTAAAATTGGTATTTTATTTTTCAAACATACTCTGCTTACACTACCCCAAATCTCTGAGCACGCCACTGAGTAATACATATTATATAATTTTATTATGTATGTTGAACTCTTATGTTTTCTTATTTTTGCTATGACTAGCAAAAAAATATTTTTTGATTAATATTAAGTAAAATGCCTCAAATTCCTAAACTGTTGATTGATTAAAGAATTATTTATAGAACTTTGAAAAAGGAAGAAGTGAATAGATAAATGAATGGCCTTTTGAATGTCAGATTTTATCATCCTATCATTATGTAATCCCAGCCTCATTTGCGGTCTTTAGTCAAACCATTTTGTATTACATGACGGATGAAATTGAAAATTAATATAAAATCAGCCCAAAACTGAAAACGTAGTACCACCTTAATTTTTTTATTACTTACTATTAAGCTGTTCAGTGTATATATTGTATGGGAATGGTATATTGGCGCAGTTGGACAGTGCACAATATTGGATTTTTGTAATTTATTATAATCAAATACAGCAATCTCAAATACATAAACAAGAAAAAGGTACAACTATTATTGAAATTATGTTCTTTATGGTCGTCATATTTTTTGGCGGTTTTATGTACGCCAAGTAATTTCCCTATCTATAATCTACGATATATACCATGTTTTAGTATTAACCGTCGCAAAATGTAATTATATCCTCTACCGGAATATTTTCCAACTTTTTACATATATTTTTTTATTAATATAAAAAGTAAATCTGATATAATGGGATATTTAAAATTTTACGTGAATAGACTTAGATTACGTTTTTAAATTCTAATATTAATAAGTTTGTTGTATTCAGGTAACTTTGGAATTTATTTTTACACGTCAGTTTTATCACTTAAACTCATAGATTTATTTAGTTATTTGTTTAAGTTATTTAAATACCTTTGTGTGAATGTCAAAAATTAAACATTAATTATACTTATACATTATACTTATCATAAAGAAAATCAACTATGTTTTTATTTAATGGTTTTGATGAGTTAGATCGTATAAATTTCGATTCTTCTCCCGATTTTAATGATTTAGAATCTCTCTCGGTCCTCTGTTGGAAAAGGCACACGTATACTTATCATATGTACGAATGAAAGGCGCGATTCGATTGCATTTATGGTTGTTGGACGTGCTACTTCTATCCTGCAAGGATTTGTAATATTCCCATGTACCATTGGATTTGTCAAGACGATATTGAGTATTCTGAGTTTATCTTAATTTTGAAATACTCATAATGCTCAATTTATTCATAATCTAAGCACTGGCAAAGGTATCTAGAACCGGTTTCACCGTGTTACAAATGGCAGTAACGTGTTTCTTTTTTCAATTACATAGTATTTTTTTTAGAAAAACGATTATATTTATAACGCCTTTTTTATACATATAAGCGTTAGGTTTCTTTGTTTATTGAGTTTTATGTATTATGTTTGTGAGTGTGTAGGACTATTCTGACGTTGTCGTCAAATCTCTTCTTGAAGAAGAAAGGCTATTAGTGTTATGCTAATATTCTTATGATTCTTTAAAACCTTAGCAGTTAGCTATAGAAATTTCAGAAGTAATTTT